ATTTTTATTTTAAGGTATTTTGGATAAATTTTAAGTTTTTTTTTAATTTGTAATTTAATTGTTTGAAGCAAGTTTGGTGCTTACAGAGCAATTGTTTATAATATCTTTTCGATCGATGTTTAGGAAAATCAATAGTTTTGAAATATTCTAATTATTAAATAAATGGGAAAAATAAGTTACTCGATACATGAAATATGAAGTATAATGCGAATGAAAAAGAAAGAATAAGCGAGAGGATAATTTTTGAATTGTTTAGAGACATTAAAATATTGGGAAACAGTTAATGTTAACTTAACTTTCATTAAACGTTGATTCCAAAGATCCATAAATAAACTGAATTACGCTTAAAATATCATCACGAGTCGAATACAAATCTATCACATTAATTATTCATTGATAACTCTCCATTATTCCTGTATACATGTATATTTAGAACAAGGATTAGTATTCCTCGAAGGCTGCATAATTGAAAGATTTCTCTCGTTTTCCCGATCAATGGTTGCCAAGTGTACATGCAATTGTAATTCAGCAGGATCGTTAACATTGATACGAATGAAATGTCCACGTAAGAAGGATGAAATATCTTTGTATTATCAGTATAATTAAAGAAAATTTTGAACGTAAAAATAGATAATTTCATGGCAATTAAACCCATGACCCTCGAGAATCCTTCAGATTTTTCGATCAATCGGCTCATTGAACTCGAGGAAACAAAGAGAGTCACTGTTTCCAATCATTTCCAGAATTTTCAAGCGTTTAGTGGGAATATTTGGAAAATATCGTGAAAATTACGTTCGTTTATTTTTAAAACATTTTCTTTTTAAATAATTATTATAAATTTTAGTTAAATATATTATTTAATTTTATCTTTAATTAAATAGTGATGCTTTCGAACGCATTTTTTTTTTTTTTTTTAATAAAAATGGAATGGATATATGGCAGTAAAAATAATTTGTACATGAAGTTAATTCAGGAAAATGTGATTGACCTAGTTTTGTTAATTTATTGATTTCAATAATTATATCGAGGCAATCGAGCAAAGAATTATGGATAATATGATTGGATTTTAGATTTTTAAACAGAATATTTAAAAACTCATTGTTAGAATTAATTAACTATTCATTAAAAAATAAATAATTTAGATTATTTAGTTTTCAAAAGACTTAGCTAAAAACTGCAAAAATACAAGACACACATTATGGATTTAAAAACAAAATCTACATATTTCTAGCATTCCTACCAACATCTTTCCATAAAAAAGCGTCACAGAAACTCTTCTCTTTTTGAATTCTACATATTATTTTCTTCTTTCAAAATTCTCCTTAATAATTCATCTCTCTATCTCTTTATTAATATAAATATTTTATACAGAAGACACAAAATACAATAATAAAAATTATATAACTTCTATTATATATTAATTATATATTATTTACTTGTGATAACATTTTTCTCACCTATTATAGCATAATCTAATCTAAATTAAATTGTCCATAAACGCGTTAAATCGATATCAAAGACACCCTTATTCCAATATAAAGTATCCAATTTAGAAAAGAAATTTAAACATTTTAGAGAACAATTAAAAAGAAACAATGATGAACAAAAATTATATTTTTCCAAAACTTGATAAATTATTATACTAAATATAAAAAAAAAAATTACCAAATTCGTTAAATAAATCTTTTCATGCATCAACATCGTGTCGATTACTAGATAACAAATCATACATCAAAGTTAAGATTGGGAAACACTGCTATAAGTCATTCACGTAAAAAGCTAAATGGACCACCATAAGCGACCACCATGTACCAGTTCTATTAATCGATCAAACGAGTCAAATGGTTACGTGTTATCCCCGGAGAAGAATATCTTCTTTGTTCGGTCTTTCCTCGAAATGTGTCGCGACACAAATGCATTCCGGTTGATCAGATCGAGCCACACCAGGAATTCGACCCTGATATGGGAAAGTGCTTTATCCTGTCCCGGAAGACGGAGGTCAAGGATACCCAGAGCGTCTATAATTCTTTCCAACGTGCCTGATACGCGTGAAAAAACTTGAACTCTTTGCGCTCCATTGCTACGAGGATTCCTTATTAAGAAAGGATTCGCAACGATTATTAATAAAACTTAAATCTTGCTGTTCTACTTTTAATGTAACTTTTAATGTTAATTGATGTTCTTCTGTAATTTTGTTACAGTAAATCTCTCGTGAGATTTAAAATAAGAGAGAAAATGTTAATCATGGGCAACTCGGATCGTTTGTATCTGGAGGAAAATAAACTATTTCGACTGGACGAATAATTGCACGATAAAATAAGATATTTCTTAGACAAGAAATTCTAGCATTTTTTAAGAATTGTAAAAAAAAGATATCCGGTGAATAATCGTAAAAACTAGTCGAACTAACAGATCGATAGATCGGAAGTGAAAATAACACGATGACGGTTCGTATATATAATAAGCAATTTTTTCGAATACGTAAAGATTACGTGAAGTAATATCCAGTCGAAGAAAGAAAACAAAATCTCCGGGGAATCTGTTGTTTATAGAATTATCTGTTATTCGATGTAGCCAGATTTATCATCGATTGTTTTCTCCGTCAAGATTGTGAACTGGGTCAAAGCCGATCACAGCGCAATCGCGATGGAAGGAAACCTTCGACACAACTGTTCCGTTCAATTCGGGTTTGGACTTGGAGCAAACCACTCTAATTAGACGTTTTAATTGATAATTAGGCCAAACAGAAGTGGTACCAGCGCGATAGATCCTCCAAATTCACTCCTCGTTAGCGATCATCGAGGAATGTCGCTTTGAGAGATCGAACTAAAAGGAAAAGAAGAGAAAGAGGGGGGAGGGGAGGGGGAGAGGGGGAACATCGAAGAAAATCTACATGCGCAACATGCGCATCTCTACGCTCTGTTTTTCTGGCGCAAATTCATCAAACATACACGATTCAATTTCTATCGAGAAGAAATTTTCTTCGAATTTTCTAGAAATATTAATTCTTCTTTAAATTATCGTAGGATTTTAGATTATATTTTTTAAATCTTTTTATATAATTTGCTCGTCATATTTTTTGAAAAATTCTTCGTTAATGTTTATTATATATGGACAGATTGACGTGTTATAAACAAAGTCTTATTTCGCTTAAGGATACTAATACTAGAGAAATCTTAATTTCGAACGAAATTTTATAAATTTGGGTTCAAAAAAATGATCGATTCTTGTAGATGTTTAAATATTCATTGAGACAATTCATATAGAGATGAAGACAATTTAAAACAAGATCTGTTTTCAATTATATATTTCAATTTTTTATGGTTTAGTGAATTTTTTTGCATAAAAATTATATCGTAAAAATAATATGTGTTAAACAAAATGTAGGTATCAATCGAATTGTTAATTTACTTTAATAAGAAGCTAGTTTTTTACCAAGATTGAATTTTTTCGTTCTCAAAGTTTCTCGAATATTTTAAATATAAAGTGCATCAAGCATGCGTTTCAGTTTATGTTGTTTTTTAAAACAAAGTTTTTATAAAAATAAACATCGTAAATAGAGATCGTGCAATCTTTATAAATTTCTTCAACATCTCTATTAATAACCGTTACACCACCTTTCTAAGTTTAGACAGAATCTTATAAGATACATCCAGAAGAGGTAATAGCAATTTAAGATCGTGTAAGCCATAAATATAGTTTAACAGGAAGAGGAATGAGCCAATTATTTTTCTCGTTTAAATTAATTGAGAAGCAATTTAAAAATTTAAAATTTATTTCTACCCTAATGTGGGATGGCCAACACCATAGGGAGTTGTTACTTACGTGAAAATGTTTAAAATATAAATGTATAAAATATTCGATATTTTTCATTTTTCGAGTAAAATCGAGTAAGAAATCTAAGCGAAAATTTTAAATAACAAAATTAATCAATTATATAGATATTTATAACTATTGATGAATTTTAGTTTTTCTCTTATCTTCATTGAATATCTATTTTTTGATGGTATTAAAAACAATTTTTTAAAATTTCGGTATTTTGCAGTACATTTATAAAATTGTCGAAAATTTTATTCCAAAAAAAAATATAGAAATTTAAGATTTAATAATAATTTTATAAAAACCTCGATTTTTGAATTAAACAAAATTCTTTCTACATAAATACCAAATATACTAATTTTTTAAATCTTCTCTAATTTCTTTAAATTCTCTGCAAAACTTATAATATTTTCATTCATTTTAAATAACAGTGATTTATAAAATCACTAGAAGACATCATCTTCGGGCAATTAATATCTAACTAATACGTGTTTTTAAGCAAATATTGGAGAATAATCTACGCATTCAAAAATAATTTGACAGGGATAAAATTCCTTCCTTTTATATCAGGATTGATTGAAATTATTTAAAAATTTAACGATCTCGAAAATAAGAGAGTTAAATTTATATAATTTTTTTTGTAGAAATAAAATATAAATTTAGAAATTAAATGTTAGACGAACTTATTGATATCTAGTTTTTTTTTTTTTTTAGAAATAAATTTAATTTAGATATAAAATTGTTAATAAATTAAATTTTACGTTTTAATTATATCACGAATATAATATTACTTCTTAATTTAAAAAATTTAATAATTTAATTTTTGGTTTAAAAAGATTAAAATTTTATTAAAATTTACACATTTAAATTTTAAAAATATAATAATAATAATAATGATTAAATTAGTAATAATTTGTTTTAAATTTTTCATTTAAATATTATATAATTTAATGGAATTCGGCAAATACACCTGTTTATAATCCATCCAAATCCAAGGACTCATCACCCATCCCCTGCTATAAAAAAACTGGCAAAGATCGTTCATCACACGATCAATTGACAATATTATGTATCGAGGATCGAATATGATTAAAAAGCATCCGGAATCGAGACGCGAAATCGATATCTCATCGGTTGCCTGTCAAGGTGAAGCGATTTGGTATATGGCTGGAAGGACTCACCGAAAACTGGAACAAGGATGGATGACCCAGTGACCTGCAGCCTTTTGCCTGATTCGTTCCTTCATCAGAGCCTTTTTGCTGCCGAACAACTTCATGGCCAGCTTGTTGTCCGTAGGCTGGAACAGGGCCTGAAGCTGATTCTTCAAGAAGCTCTGCTTGACTTCCTGGCCCGGCAGACCCGGGCCCGGCTCCTCCTTCGGCGTCCCGTAGAGGGACACATCGTCCACTCCGAAGTGGACCTTCCCGCTGCCCTTGTAATTCATCTCGTTGCCTGCAAATGCGAGATATCGTTCCACCAATTTGATCGAAATATTCGTTATTTTCATTATTGATTATATTTGATCGTTCTCGATAACTTTCGAATGCGATATATCGATAATATTTCTTAACATCTTTGTATTGGATACTTCATTATATACATCTTAAGATAGAATTTCCTCTATGTTTCAAATGTTTACATATATTTGCGTTAAAATGAAAGTATTTGCAACCTGTTTTCAATTGAACGAGTGTCTTCGAACATTGAATGACACGAATGAATATATTAATAAAAAGAAAAACACATTTAATGTTTTAATTTAAATTTTTCTTAACATTTAAAATTTGCATCATTTTCTAATTCAATTTATCACGTAATTGTATTATCAAGTTGCTTCTATGTTGCTAGCAATCAGAGGAAGTTACAAATTTACTCAAACATCTGCCTATGTATTTCTTAGATACACGTACATCCAACTTGGCTTTCCATTATTTCGGTATGGGTCTGCCAAGTAACTTTACTAATGAGTGCATTAATAAATCCAGGATGAAGAAAGATACCTCTTTTCCTTCCCTTCCCTTTTTTTAATTTCCTGCCTCTCGTCAAAACGTCCCATGACTCATGAAGCGAGAGTGTTTATAGCTCTCTTGAAGCTATACCCGAAGCTCTTCCATCGTTAAATTAGCGAGGATAAAATGGATTTTCGTTTAAAATAAATGGCATTGAACTATTATGCCTTCTACTCTTATAGTCACGATGGCTATATTTAACCTTGCATGCCAATGTTCGATATTCCCAAGATCATGTTTTTTACCTTCTGATCATGTTATAACATTCTTGCCTTGGTTCTATCTATTCATTTCTTATTTTCAATCAGAATGAAAATTTGTAACGATCAAAGTTATTACAATTTTCTGATTGCAAACGTTGTACACTTTCGAAGGAATTCACAGATTTTTATTTAGATCTATCATTATTCTTTAGAAATATGAAAACAAAAAAATGATTTTTACTCCTTTCTTAATTCATATTCTATCAAAACTTGCAATTTCGATTCGCTATAAAGTTCAAATATCTTGTCATCAATCGTTCGCTCAATTCAATCAGTCAAACAGCTACCTCGATGTCAATCATCCACCAAGTGCAATTAATATACCAATATTATCACTAATAATCTCGTTCCAATCACGTAAAGGATCACGAACCAACATTTCGTATTCTAATAAACATAATCAAGTTCAAATTTCACTATTTTTCACGCTTCGAATAAACTTGAAATTCGGTCACTTAAAGAATAATTGTCAAACCCATCATTCTACGTTTCGAGTAGAATTCAGTCAATTAAATTTACCATGATTATCAACCAGAATTCAATATTTCACACCCTCGAATGAACGTAGTCCAGTATGTTCGAACCTCATCATTCCAACGCTCCAAATAAACTTCAAATTTAGCCAGTCAAAACGATTGCCAAATAGAAATCGACATTCCACGCGATCCAAAAATTCCACCACTCCACGCTTCAAACAAACTTCAAATTGGAACGAACGAAATGATCGGCAATCAGAAACCAAATAAACATCGAGTTCAATTGGTGGGAAAAAAAGGAAAGAAGAAGAAAAGGAAAACTTTCGAAAAATTTCGAAAGCCCCATGCGAAATTCCCATTCTCGCACAAGAGTCGAAGCGAGTGATTTCGACCTCTACCATCGATTTCCTTTCCAGTTGCCGAACACCATACGCACCGACAGCACGAGCACACACGAAACGTAAAAAGCAAGAACCGTTTGCTCGGTGACTTAAGTACAGTTAACCGAGAGAATTCTCTTGTCTTTTTGTATTCGCAAGGCATGTTATCTGCGATCTAAAAAGAATGTAAGAGAAGGAAGAATCTGGGTGATGGAATGATAAATATTTGAATTCCAATCGATCTTCTCGTAAAATATTTGCGAAACATTTGATTCGATTATTTTTAGAAGTCAGAGTGATTAATTACATTTTTTTCTTTTATTCTTTCTTTTAATTACAAATTTATATTGTTTGTGCAGTAACAGATGATAGAGAATCGAATTAATTAATATGTGTTCGATCGAGAAGATTGGAAATAAATTATAAATAAATGGAAAATAGTTTTTGTGATATAATAATGATTTTTTTTAGATGTTATGAAATTTCGAATTCTTTTTAAAAATAAGTATTCTTTTTATCGTTTGTCTCTTTTTATCTTTTCGCTTTCGTGTTAATCAATTTGTTTCGAGATTTTGAATTTGTGGAATTTCAAAATTTGTTAAGATTTCGGTTTTTGAGGAAATAGATAATAGTTTTTAGGGGAAAAAGAAAGACAAAATAATTGTGTTGGATTGCAGAGTTTCGAAATTTCAAGTTTCAGATTCGTATTTTGCCACTCTGTTATAAATTTGCAAACGTCAAACAAATTTTCGCATTGGTGTCTAAATAAAATATAATTGTACTGCAAAAATTTCTCTTTTATATAGCAGTGTTGTTAAATTTAAAAAAAATCATTAGGTATTTTCAGAGAAAATATCGATACCTTGGTTTGACTTAAATTTTAATTACATTTGATTGAAATTTGGCACTTTTAATTGAAATTTGATTTTGTTTCAAAATTTCAGAGTTATTATTCTTTTGTTAATTTTTTTACAGCACTATATATTTATATCTACTATCTATTTATCTATTTATATTTATATTTATATTATCAAAGATTTCTAAAATTTTAAATTATAAAATTATATAATTAACGATTAATTGAAAGTTTTATAAAGTTCACAATTTTATAGCTTATAAATTTTTTAATAGTTGTTAATTAATATAAAGCAATAAGTAAATAAATTATTGTATAATAACAATTAATGATTTCAATAGAATAGAATTTAAAAATTATTATTTTGAAGTACGATATTAAATCGTCATTTTTAAAAATAACTCGTTACACTTAGAAACTATCTGTTATTATATGACAAAAATCGCTAATAAAGGAAATTATGTAAATAATTTATTAGCAGATATTACAAAAGAATACAAAAATATTATAAAAACAGTTTAGATAGATTAAAAGTACATTTATTAATAAAAAAATGTTATTATGTATAAAAAAATTACTATTCATATTACATTATTGAATTCCTATACGTAAGAACTTGGAGTATCGCTTATTTTTAGAGATATTAAAAAATATTTCAGATAAACGTTGAATATTATAGATATAATAAATTATTAAACTATAAATAATTAAAAATTATTAGTTTTCAAGAAAATTATATATTAATTAATATTAATATAATTATTATTATATTAATTATATTTATAATGATTATATTTATTTCTTTCGTAAACTAACAATTTTTCGACTGAATATGATTTATACTTTTGTACAAATCAATTTTTTATTTTTTAATACATTGATACATGTATTAAAAAATACATGATTTCATGTATAAAAATAAAGATGAACCTGATAATTTATTCACATGTCCATAAAAATAAAGAAATAATATCACAAAGTAACCCTCTGAAAACTATTCAATTCCTATTTAAAACATTTTTTAATATTATAAAAAATTAATGAGATATTCCAGATATATTATATGGAATAAATATCAATACTATTATCTATTCTATCATCCTATTTATTCCTTACTCTCTTAGAATTAAGAAAACTGATAAAAAATGAATAATAATTGACAATATAGTAGAAGTCACTCAAAGATAAGTATAAAATAGATAAGTATAAAATAAGTAAACATTAAAAAAAATTTAATTCCATATTTTTAAGTATTACATTCTCCTGATCAAATACAAGATCAAAACCTATACAAGTTGAAAAAAAATGACATGTGAAAAAATTTGCTGAAATGTGAAGTCCAACAATTTCTGGCTAAAATTTCGATTTTGTATTAGGAGAATATAATATGAAAGGAGATCGTTCGAGAAATTTTTCCAGGAATTTTCGACAATTCTAGGAAATGACGTCGAATTTTTGGAATCTCCAAAATTCTTAGAAATGACGTCAAATTCTTGGAAATTTTTAAATCTTCGAACCAATAAAATTTTTAGCCGAAAATTCGATTTTGTATCAGGAGAACATAATATGATAGGAGGTCGATCGAAAATTTTTTCCAAGAAATGACGTCAAATTCTTGGAAATTTTCGAATATTCGAACGATATAATAGAACGAAACTTTTGGCCAAAAGTTCGATTTTCTATTAGAAGAATATAATTTAAAAAAGGAGTTTTTACATATTTATCATACATTTACCGTTCTGTTACTCTTTTCTTACTCATTTTCTTAGTGCTGCCATTTTTTTAAAGTTTCAAAACATTTTTTTTTTCACAATTTACGTAAATTTAGATTATTTACTTCTTGCATAATTATGTACTACCATGAATTCTGCCATTTTTAGTTCGTTTTTTATCATTTTTTCAATTTTTGAAAAATTCAAGCATTGTATTTTTTTTTATTTGGAATATCTCTATTGTTTTTAATAACCGACATAATATATTATACCTGATGTGCGAATAACATTATCGGGCATAAAACATTTATTTTTGGAAATATTAAAAAACGTTTCAAAGTTAAATGGTTTGGGGGGGGGGGAGTATATCCTGTTGTTATTTATTTTTTTATAGATAGAAAAGATTTATAAATGAAAATATTGTTTTCTAAAATAGAACTGTACATTTTTTTAATACAGCAGTTGATGTGTCTGTAGCATTCTCTATAAAAAAGTATTAAGTATCTATAAATGGCAAAAAACTTATAGTTTGGAAAATAAAGTAAATTTAATTAAATATCTTTTAAACTAATGGTTTTTTATTACAAATGATCCTATGCATTTTTGTAGAGAATGCTAAGATGCACAGATTGGTGTAATAAAAAGTATATGATGCCATTTAAAAGAATAAACTTGAGGTTGATATGTTTTTTATGAGTCCATCAGTGAAAAAATTGAGACGATACAACATTTTCGAAATCATTCAACTGTTATTCG